TTAGTTGAAGCCCCTCCCCATCCTCACGACAACAGGAAGATCAAAGTGACTATTAAACACTATTGAAGATATTGACGAATGTTTAGTTGATGCCCCCCCCCCCTCCTCCCATACCTCATCTTGGCCCGATGACCCCCCCCCCCCAATCATGGCCCGATGAGCCCCCACACCACCCTCCACTCACCCATATCTTGGCCCGATGACCCTCATATCTTGAGACCCTCCTAGGTTTCATCCTGTCAAGCCCACAGGTCAATCTAGCACTGTCTGTTTGTTAGCGAGAGAGAGAGAGAGGGTGAGAGAGGGGGAGACAGAGACAGAGTGTATATTCCCATGCTCCTGTACACTATGTGCCGATACAGTGTCCAGAGATGTACGACAATTTAATCTATATGACATTTTCAGCTCTTAAGAAACATTCCTATCGGAGATAAAGCTCAAGTACCACTCTTAACATTTACACATTTTAAATCAGTGTAATAAACAGTGTTTAGCGCAATAGTAGAGTTGTCACTCTGCTTTATGCGCCACATTTTACATGGCATGAGCCTTGTTTCCCGGGGTGTGAAATTTCAGGCATCGGGTCAATGCCGACGTCTGATTGATTGGTTGATTGGAATTCGGGTGGACATGATAAAGACGGGCATGCGCCATACAGTGTACTATGAGGGACATTTTGCAGTCTTCACGTTGTCGGGCACGTAAAAGAATCCATGGCAACTGGAATTCGAAATAAAAGAAGGCCCCTCATTGCAGTCGGTGGTGATTAGTAAGACGTTAAATGTTGTCGGACACGTAAAAGAACCCATGACAGCCACGGTTGCTCAGTGGGTAGGACGTCGGCTCGCTAACCTGGAGGTCTCATATCGTTGGCCAAGAAAGTTCATCGTTTTTTTTCCGGCATATTTCCTCCTTGTCAGTGGTACGGCCACGGGGCAACATGTGTAGGCGTTCGGATAGGACGACTATACGGGGACCCGTAGACACATTGGCGGGGACCTTAAAAAAACCTTAACAATTGGAATTCGAAATAAGAGTCAGCTCCGCTATCCGGGCAAAATTTCACTTATAACACACTGTTTGTCGTATATTCCCGTCTTCATTAGCCCAGTCGGTGCAGAACAGTAGGACGTTAAACCTTATTTCATATCATTTCACTTGTCTACCTTCAACTTCACCAACTCGAGTGGATGTGTTATCATAAACTAGTTTAGAATTATAAGCGGGTGTATTTGAGGGGGGGGGCTCTATACTAATTTTGGCTTTTTAACATGTTTTTTTTATGTGTCAGAGTCTTATATAGCAGCTGTATAGTTTCTTACAGTTCATATCAGATATATATTGCTAGCTGTGTTATATAACGTGACATGACGACATCAGTACAACTTGTATGGTGGGTTATACAAGGATAGCTAGTAAGACAGAGCAATAATCTGTTAGTGATATCTACTAATTGGATAGACTAACATGCTATTACCCATGCTTAAGGTAAACAGCTACCATATTTTGGCTTGTTTTACTAATTGGATAGACTAAACCAGTATTAACCATGCTTATGGTTAATAGGTACCATATTTAGGCGACATTTCGAAGAATATTTTATATAAGAAGAACAATTCCTGATAATTACTTAACCCTTGGTACAATCTTGTAATCTCACCAATATATAGAGACTTTGCTTCACTTTTTTACATAACGATTCACAATGCAATGCACAGGGGAGAATTTAGTCCGTACAATGGCGTTTCTACCCAATTAAGTCAGCTATTAATTTAAAGTAGGTATTAATACAAATTTGTGATCAGATTTGTAACCCTCTATCCTATCTTCTAGTGAGAGGTGGTTGGGTTGCCTAATGGTTAATGCGTGCGCGTGGCATCATAAGGTCTCTCATTGAGTGAAGTGGCGTGGTTTCGATTCCCCGCTTGTTCATGACAATGAGTAGGATCGCCTGTCCAACCTCTTGGGTTTTCCCTGGGTCCACCGGTTTCCTCCCACTGGTGTACCTTTAACAGTAAACTGCTACCTCTATATTAACGGCGCACAGGTTTTTTTCTTATTGCATTAATGTAAGTTAACAGACTTCAAGATCAAGAACTGTTTTAAAAATGGTAACTACACGTTTTTCCTAACAAAGTGGAAAACAGGCTGGAAATTGTTCAACTTTCTCAGTCAAAGCCGGTGTCGAACAAGAATGGGTTGGAATGCCTGTGTTCAGTAACTTGTTTTGTTTCCCTTGACCTGTTGGTTACTACCAGTGCTTCATAATAAAACAACAATACAAAGAGTTTACAATTATTATTCTAATATGGAAAGATATTATACACGTATTTTAGCTCCATCTGGAATCATTTTTTATTATAATATGGAATGATATTATACATGTATTAAAGTTCCATCTGAAAAAAACTATCAACTACTTCTTCCAGCGATTGACCATAATTTATTCCATTTCGGATAGAAATAATGTTATCTCCCTTACACCGTAAACAAAACATTATTTAACAATCATTCAGCCATAACAGTAGTCTAATTATTAACGTCTTTTAATGTCAGTTATATTATTAATTGTTGCTTGAATTGTAAAGTTTCTATGATCATCAATAAATCCACTGCCAGGATTACTGAGTCTTCTCTCCAAGTCAGTAAGATCAGCATAACAGTATATCCCACCAGGTCTAACAGTCTCATTACATTGTTTAACTACAGATTGTCTATCATCTGTTTTATTTATAACTTTATATGTGACGTCAACTTTACATGACGTAATACTTTTATCTTCTACGTCATTCAGGTATAATCCAAAAGAGAATAAAGATGATCCTTTATACACATAGATACTCCATGTAAAACCTGAAACTACATGTTGTTTACCACCCAGATAACCTGGCACAGTATCCACAGTATCCACATTAAAAACATCTTCAAACATATTCTGATGACAACTTACAACTTTACCAATCATATTCTGATGACAACTTACAATTTTACCAAGTTGATTAGTTAACAAAGTTTTATCTATCTCTGCTACTTGAAATGTTGAATATCTTACATCAGGTATATCCAATTTTCTACAACAACTTTCATCTTTTTCCTGTCTAACTTTAGGTATTCTTTGTAAAACTTGAACAACGGATGAATCTTCTAAAACATTCACTGAATATTTAACACTAGCTTTTAAATCTTCCGTTAGTCTTTTAATGTCCTCCATTAATTTCCTGAATTTGTATTCTTCCTCTTCACTAGTTTCTTGCATTTCCTTTTTAATATTTTCTCCGATTTTATGAAATTTTGAGCAGATTTTCTCAACTTGTGCATCTACTTTGTCACATTCAGTTTTTGTGCAGTTTTTGACTTCAGTTAATTTGCTATTTAAATTATCATAATGTTTCTGAAAATTAGTGATTTGTTTTTTTAATTCATCATTCAGTGATTGTAAGTCGTGTCTGATACTTTGTCTGACTTCATCCTCCTGTAAATCTAAATAATTGTGTCCATTATGATCGACCAAGAAACATTTCCAACAAACGGCTACAGTACAATCTTTACAGTATACTTTTACGGTCTCCTTTTCATGGCGCAGACAGAAATCTTTAGGATTTGGGATAGACGAAGCCGAAGCTTTTTCCTTTATTGTTTCGTGTGAAGTAGGCGCTTGATAGATCTGTGTTTCATCATATCGAGACACAACGTGGTCTTTACAAGATTTTAACTTATCATGCATGGTTTTACATGATTTACATAAATATTGATCACACTCTCGACAGAAATATTGACATGTATCTTCCGTACATACATCACATTGAGGAATATTAATTGGTTTAGGTTTAAATCGATCCAGACCTCCGTCACTGAGATTTATAAAACTACGGCATAATGGGCATTGGAACTGATCTTTAGTGGAGGTTTTGTTCACATAATCTTCTAAACAGATAAAACAAAAGGGGTGTGCACAATCGAGTACCACGCGTTGTTGAAATTCGTTCAAACAAATACTACACACTTCCTTCTCTGCCATTTTAAATAACTGTTTGTTGCACTGGTTGTATAAACTAGACAAAACAACAACAAACAATTAGGCTAAATATAATATATACGATATCCTAGAAATCAAAACTGCTAAATTTAGCCAAATCGTCTAACCTCGCCTGACATCTTCTCGAGCAGTTTATCTTCCTTGGACTGTACACTGAACATGCATAAACTTGATATAGTTTCTTAGAAACGTCTAAGTCACATAATTGTAGACAATACGAGTTCAAACTGGATGAAAATACAAAATCAAACAATATAATACTTGATATCGAGATAGATGAACTAAAAATCAAAAGTATTAAATTCAAACAAAACATGTAAATCACATAGAAATTCACGTCTTTCTTCGTCTTTCGCAGTTTGTTCTTCTTATGCTGTAGACTGAACATACGTAAACTTGCTACAGTTTCTTGGAAATTCTATTTTTATTTTCTTTTTAATATAATGACCTTCGACATTAGCCTTTGTCACCCAGGCTATAACTGTTGTATATCTACTACCACTGATATTGTTAGCGTGTGGGTAACAGAGGCTACCACTGTCACGCTATATGCTGTAGACTGAACATACGTGAACTTGCCACAGTTTCTCGGAAATTCTATTTTTATTTTCGTATTGATATAATGACCTTCGACATTAGCCTTTGTCACCCAGACTATCACTGTGTGTATCAACTACCACGGATATTGTTAGTGTGGGTAACAGAGTCTACCACTAGCACGCCATGTCATGTTGACACTATATTTAGCGGTGTACGTCTATAATACCATCGTCTTACACAATGTATCTTCCTCGGACTGTAGACTGTACAAGCGTAAATTTGCTATAGTTTCTCGGAAATTCTATCGAAAACGTCTAAATCACATAGAAATCCACGTCTTTCATCGTCTTGCACAGTTTGTCTTCCTTGTGCCGTAGACTGAACATGCGTAAACTTGCTGCAGTTTCTCGGAAATTCTATTTTCGTTTTGATATAATGACCTTCGACATTTGCCTTTGTCACCCAGACGATAACGGTGTACGTCAACTACCACTGATATTGTTAGAGTAGGTAATAGAGGCTATCGCTATCACGGTAGGTCATATTGACACTATATCTAGCGGTGTACGTCTATAATATTATGAATGTATGTTATGTATGTCAAGTACAAGTGATATTGTTAGCGTTGGTAACAGAGGCTACCACTATCACGCTATATCATATTGACACTATATCTAGCGGTCTACGTCCATAATTATAAATAGGGGGGTTGGGATGGCCTGGTGGTCTAGAGTGCCACGCTTCGACCTCTAGTTGGCCGGTCACCTCTGGCTTGCGGCTGTGGTTTCGATCCCAGGTGTGAGCGTATGTGGCTTGGAGATAGGGGCGCCTTCTCAACCTCGTGGGTTTACTCCGGGTACTCCGGTTTCCTCCCACAGGAAAGACCCCTGCGCGTGCGCTAAGATCATTAAAATGAACTTGTCTGCGATATCACCTTCGGTGGAAGCGGACGTTAAACGCTAAGAACAACAACAACAACATAATTCTAATATTATGACTATATGTAGTATGAAAGTAGGTCAACTTATAGTGAGATATATTATAATGCTTATACTTTTACACAGCTATACTTTCACGTGTTTCTCTGTATGTCTCCAACTTGGTATCTTCAACAATGTAGTAAGCATCAACTAGTTAATAAACCTCTAGATATAATATACACGACTGGGTACACATGGCGATATATCCCTGCTTAGAAAGTTCATCGGGACTCTCCGATTTTAGTACCATGCCCCATCCCAACGAGTAGACGGTGTTCCTGTAGGACTGACAGAGGGAAACCAAGCCGGAAAATCCAGAATAGGTTTCTCAACTAACACTGGGATCAAACCCATAACCCCCTGGTTAACGAACGAGTGTCTTACTTACTGAGCCACCGCGACTCGCTTGATAATATAATACTTGACATAATATCAAGGTTAATTTACGTCCGCTTCCATTGAGAAGATACCGTAGACAATAAATAAAGGTGTAAGTAATCTGATATTAACATATTGATGGTTCGCTAATCTGGAGGTTCGGTGTTCGATCTCTGTATTGGTTCATCTAGATTTTCCGGCGTGATTTCCCCTTGTCAGTGATTGAGGACGGAGGGCCTGACACGGACCGCTGTCTAGTCGTTCGGAGGGTCCGAAAATCCGAGGTTCCGTGTACACATTGGCGTGTACGTAAAAGATCCCTTGACAGTTGGAATTCGATATAAGAGTAGGCCGTAGTGTCGCTGCCCGGACAGAATTTCCCTGAAAGTACACTGTATGGATATCCGTCTTCATTAGCCCATTTCGGGGCAGAACAGTAGGACGTTAAACTTCATTTCATTTTTATTTCATTTCGAATCTTGAGAAGGACCTTGAGATTTGTCGATCCTGATTTTCGTCTGCCAGGGACAGCGTCCGTTAAGCTGACTAGTCCTTCGGATGTGACGATAAACAGAGGTCCACCCGTGTATACATTGGCGTGCTCTTAAAAGAAATTCGATGAAATGCCCATGACCCGACAAGATTCTTCTCTTTAGTATCACACCCTTGACAACAGAAAAAAGCGGGCGTGGTTCTCCCTTGACAGTGATGCAGGACGGAGGGGCTGACAAGGAAAGCTGTCTAGTCGTTCAGATGGGACGAAAAACCGAGGTCCCGTGTACACATTGGCGTGCACGTAAAAGATCCCTTGGCAGTTGGAATTCGATATAAGAGTAGGCCGTAGTGCCGCTGTCCGGGCAAAATTTCCCTCATAGCATACTGTATGGCGTATGCCCGTCTTCATTAGCCCAGGTTAGGAGCAGAACAGTAGGACGTTAAACCCCATTTCATTTCATTTCATGTCATTTCAGAAAAAAGCGGGAGTAGTGTGTTGTGTTTTTTGTGGTTATCAGTAATATCAAGATAGGCCAAAATTGATACCGGATACTAGGCGGACATTTTTTTATATTCTTACGGTGGAAAGAGCGATTACTTCCTAATGTCAAAATAAATTATTATTTCCATAATTATGTGCTGTGGTTTATTGTTTAAAATAAACTTATTTTATTACAACTGTTGATGCGGGGGGGGGGGGGATTTGAGAACAAACAAATAATCAGTATTTTACAATGGAGAGGGAGAAGATAGGGTTAAACGTTCACTCGAAACAAACTAGGTAATTTCGGGACTAACATATACAGTGTATTTCAATTTTTTCAATAATACGCTTGCACGTAGGACTGGGACCGGGGGACAAGGAGATAACCCAAGAGGCTGGACAGGCGACCCTACTCCTTGTCACATACAACCGGGGAATCGAAACCACGCCAGTTGACTCAATGACAGATCTTATGAAACACCCAGGGCTGGATTGGGCCATCGGCCGGTCAGACAAAAAATGAAAAAAATAATTTGGTGCAATTCGTCTAATAAAACCTTTTTCTTCTGAACATTATATGGGGGGGGGGGGGTGTATTGAACCGGTCATGCAGCGATGATGATCATGTTGTATGTGGCCGGTAGCTTTAACGGGCCGCCACGACATCACTGGAGTTTGGAATGGGCTGGTATAATAGACTTTCTGGGCCGGGTGTGCTGGGTGTGGGCCGGAATTCGGAATCCGAAAATTTCACCGAATTCACCAGACACTTTCACCGGCAAATTTACTAATTATTAAGTCCCCGGACTCCCCCATCCGGGCTCCGCGATCAGTAAAAGGGGCCGCTCCGACACGGGATACAACACGCACGCGCTAACCATTCGGCCATCCAACACCCTATTTTACAGTGGGTAGCGACTAATAAAACATAATTAAGGTGAAAGAGAGAAATGGGGTTTAACGTCCACTCGACACAAACTAGGTCATTTCGGGACTAACACATGGTTCAATTTTATTTTAATCATTCGCTTGTGCGTAGGGGTCTTTAGCAGTGGGAGAAAACCGGGGGACCCGGAGTAAAGCCACGAGGTTGGACAGGCGACCCTACTCCTTGTCACGTACAACCGGGGAATCGAAACCCCGCCAGTTCACTCAATGACAGGCCGTATGGTACAGCGCGCGTGCTAACCATTCCGCCATCCAACCCCCCATAATTAAGGTAGAGAAAATTAAAAGAAGGTTTTGATGTAACATCATTTACAGTTAAATATTACTTTAAATTGCGTTTTAGAGTTCGAATCACGCCATGGGCCCGAGAAGAACTCGTTCTCGCTTTTCAGGGTGGCCCCGGCGGAATTGACAAAGGAAATGTGCCTAATCCATCGGATAGGGTAAAAAGCGGCATTCCAGGCAAAGTTCACCATCGTATTGCACGCCTGGCGATTGAAAAGAAAAATACATTAATTAGTCTTAAATTGAGGAGACGTTAAACCCCATTCTAGTATTATATATATTGGGTGTGACTGTGATAAATACGGGGTTAAATGTACTGTCATGAACTGGCGTGGTTCCCCCGTTTTCCATTGTGCAGGACTTTGGGCCTGGCAATAGATAACACCTAGTTGTTCCGACAGTTCTTGTCTACTCAGGCGTGCAGGTATTGGAATTCCGTGTAAGAGTAAGCTGTCGCGCCGCTCTCCAAGACAAGATTATTTATATATAATTATATATCAATAGGTGATGTATTTTTATTATATATTCTCACCTGGTACAATAATTGATTGTTTTATAAACTTGGACGACATTAGTCACCCTATCTATTTTACTATAAAACTGCAACAATGCAGGATAAATGGATATGGATCATCCTGTCAAGGTTTGTAAATTTGTGTAACGAAACAGCTGACCGACAGCCGACAACTCTATACGCCTATATTACGCGTGGGTGTATATAGAAAAATTGCAAATAGAAAAAAAAGTGAGGAGTCCTTCCGTATTCGTGACTGAGACATTCTCCTATTGAACACCAAAACCAAATTTAAATAAAAGAAAGATGGTCAAATTCACGCTGATATGGATTTTAGCAAATTTCATGAAATTCGGGCAATAACTCAGCCCTGTATATAGCTTTGATACGTTTTATGTGAAATCAAGGGCTATAACTCTAAGCATGTTCATAATTATGATGTCAGTAATTAGTAATTAGTAATTCTTTCCCCAGGTGATTTTAATGTTAAATCTATGACATGCCTTGGCCTATAACATTTTTTCTAATATGCCCCGACCGGGCGTATTGAATTACCCAATAACACCCAATTAATAATACCCAATAATTCCAACTGCCAAGGCATACGTGCATGCCAATGTATACACGAGACCTCGGTTTTTTGTCCCATCCGAGCCATTTCGTCCCTGGTTAATTAGTATTTTGTATTATTTGATTTTTTAGGTTAATAGATGATCCAGTGCCCGCAGATGATACGTGTACAATATAAAGTGTACAATAAAATTTCAATACATAACAATTTCATAAATATAACAAATTCAATGATTCTCTGTGGCAACAATTCCATGGCGATTCTTCCCCACACGGATATCCCGCCTGAAAAATCCTTCGTTAATGCTTTTTTGTTGTAACTGAAAAAATAAATATTTGATTGTTAATATATTTTAGTGTACAATTTACTTTGTTGTTTATTAATAAACGGGCCCGCTCTAGCGTGGAGATGTTCCGAAATGATAAAGCGAATGTGTCCCGAAAGTAAACTATGTCGTGTGGACGACTTAACCAACGTATTTGGGCACACAATTGTACTTTGTAAAAATTGTATAAAAAAAATATTGTGTTCTTGAATGTGTCCAATTTAACAGCGAATTTATTATTATTATGTAACATACTAAGAACCTAACTACATTTTTTTGGCACCAACCACCACCGCCCGCCCCCCGCCCCCCAGTCAAAAATTTCCCCGTACGCCTATGTGGACGACTGCACCAACGAGTGTGGACGACTTCACCAGATTTTTCGTGTGGACGACTTTGCTCGTGGACGACTTAACTGATATTCCTCTTGCCATGCCTTCGAACCTGCACCTGCTTCTTTTTTTTCTTTTGAACATACAATTATTTCGGTGGGTGCATGGGTATTTTGTTTATACGACACAGTATGAAAGTGCCATTTAACGAAAACGAAAGATGATTAAGATGCCAAGTTATGGCAACTTAAAAGTAAATAGCACGATCAGCTTAGTCACATAATAGAGTAATTAATTTAGAAGCTTCACACAGAACGATAATTTGCCTTACACCAGAGAATTTAGTAAGGCAGAGTAGGGTGAAGCTTGGTGATTTTATTTATATTTTCTTTTCTTTTCTTTTTGTATAGAATTGGTATATCAGATGGTTGGAGATGTTGTTGATATAGGGATGCATTCTGTTGGACCATATGATCCAGAGGTAGAGATACATGATATGGAAGGATTTTGTGGAATGTATATTGTTTATATGTGTAGCAGCAAAGGATTTAAAGTGCTGTAATTTAGGGCAGTGTAGAAATAAGTGACTGTAGGTTTCATTATTTTTCTTGCAGTATTGACATTTATAGTCATCTACGTAAATATTTCGAGTGTGGAGAATATCTTTTGTGGGAAATGCATTGTGTATTATTTTGTGCATAAATTCTTTTTCTATTTCAGATAGTGTTGGACATTTATATAAATTATGCCAAACTTTTTCAAAATTTATATGAGGTAGGTGTTTGTTTATTTTTGGTTGTACGTTCTTACTATCAATGAGTGACCAGTACAAGTACAGACTTTTTCTTTAATCGATAGGTTGTAAGTAGACCAGTGACTAATAGTTGATTTAATCGTCATGATGAGGGGTAACCAGATTTTTTTCCATTTTATTGATCTCAAAACAAAAGCCCAGTAATTTAATTGTGTCTGTTTTAATGTTTATGTTTATATTTTCAGGAAATGAGTCATGGGATGGTTTACGAACACCAACATGGTGGATTTCGGTTTTATCTTAATTTAGTTGAGAGCTATATACAGAGCCAACATTTATACGTAAGGAATAAAGAATCGTGGACAACCTTGACGGATCGAACGATTATTTTTGATATTTTGAGAGAAGGATCCATTTACTTGAACTTTACTTTTCAAATTTTTAAACAGTATTGTAACCCAATTTACAATGTCATTTGGAAAATTCATATGTTTTAGTAGGGTTTTTATATAATTGTGTTCAATACGGTCAAAGGCTTTTTTCCTAATCAAACGATAAGATATAGGCATTAGTTTCATGTGTGTCTAAATAATTTAGGATTGAATCAATTAAATACAGGTTATCGAAGGTGCTTTTATTTGGTCCGGCTCCCGTTTGTGTTTTAGAGATCAATTTGTTAATAACTGTGTTCATTCATATACTTAATATTTTTGTGATGATTTTATAGTCGACACATAACAGGCTTATTGGTCTATAGTTCTTAAATAATCGGTGGTCGCCTCTATTCTTATAGACAAACAATTTATTCTTATAATTAATTATTATTATACCGGTTCTCATTGGGTTAGATAATTCACCCTGTAGATAGATGTTGTTTATTACTTCTGTCAGGTCGGTTCCTATTGTGTCAAAGAATTTGATATAGAAATCTCCTGGAATACCGTCGATGCCTGGGCTACGGTTTGATCTGAAACTTTGTAACGCCTTCAGATCTTCATCTTTAGATATGAAATGAGACAGGGAATCTCTTTCCGTGTTAGTTAGGGTATTTATGTTACTGTTTTCAATATAGGAGTTTATTAGGTTTTCGACAATGTTTTGGGTAGTATATAGTTGTTGGTAATATTGGTGAATTGTGTCTAGAATATCTTGTTCATTATCAAATACTGTATTATTTTGATTGATTAATTGTTTAATTTGCTTTTTAGCACTGTTTTTGACCTCAGCTAATTTATATATTTTAGAATATCGTAACCTTGTATTGTATTTTGTTCTATTATTTCGATTTTTGTTTGAATTTCATGCATTGAGTTAGTATTCATAGGTAGTATGGAAGTAGATCAACTTATAGTGTGATATATATTGAGACTATATTTATGTTATATATATGAATGCATATCTAGCACTATGCATATCTAGCGGTGTATTATGAATGTATGTTATATTAAAGGACGACGGATATTGTTAGTGTTGGTGACACGGGCTACTCCTAGATCTATCTTTATAATAGTATTAACATGTCACGTTTAGATTATATTTAGAGGGAAAGATAGATAGATATGGGGTTAAGTGGAGGGAAACCGCAGTTCAGGACCCGGAAAAACCCACGAGATTCGTTGACACGTATATGCGGGGAACCTACTCCATGCAGATTGACTCTATGTATATGATAGACCAGGAAAAAACCCACGAGGGTGGACAGGCTACCCTATTCTGTGTCACGTACATGCGGGGAACCGAGTCCACGCCAATTGACTCTATGATAGACGTTACTCACTGAGCCATCGCGACTCCCTTGATAATATAATACTTGACATAATACCAAGGTTAATTTACGTCGGCTTCCATTGAGTTGATACCGTAGACAATAAATCAATGTCTAAGTATTCTGATAATAACATATTGATGTCAGGGAATTAAGTTCGATTCTCGAGAAGAACCTTGAGGTTTGTCGAGTCTGAGTTTCACCTGTCAGGGGTATAACGTCTATTGGCCTGACTAGTCCTTCGGATGGTTCCTACGTGTATACATTGGCGTGCACGTAAAATACATTCGATGAAACGCCGCTGTCAGGGCAAAATTCTTCTCATTAGCATAACATCCCTTAATAACAGAATAAAAAGCCGGTAGTATTGTGTTGTGTTAACGAAATGTTAAATTACATTCCTATTTTATTTTGTGGTTATATGACTAAAACGTCAGTTATATCAAGATAAGCCAGAATATTTTAAAGATACTTCACCGTATACAAACCGTTCGATCAAGAAATAACAACCTCTCCCTCAGTTAAACTAGCATACAATAAGCCGTCGTGTTGGCTCCCTCAGTTAAACTAGCATACAATGAGCCGTCGGGTTGGCAGTTAGTGATACCCTGACATTTTTGTACAGTTCCTGTTTTTCGCGTAATCCAGTATTTTTCTAGTAAGATTGGGCGTCTAAGCTTTTCATATATATCATGTCATACTTTTACTGGGAATAACCACCTGATAAATATATTTGTGACAATGTATCTTTAATATCCATGTGGTTGAAGCGGATATTTAGTTGAGAGATTAATTCTCCAAATATTGCGGGAGGTTGCGTGACTGAAAGGTTAACGCATGCGCGTTGGATCATAAGGTCTGCAATGAGTCAAGTGGTGTGGTTTCGATTCCCCGCTTGTACGGGACAAGAAGTAGGGCCCATCCTCTTAATTTTGCTCCCACTTCTAAAGACCCATACGCATAAGCAAATCATTTACATAAAATTGAAAAATATGTTAATAACGAAACTCTCTCTCTCTCTCTCTCTCTCTCTCTTTCTCTCTCTCTTATTAAGGTGAATAATTTCTGTACATGTTAACTATTACCTACATCCTATATTATTTATATTATATGAACTATTATAGATGGCCAATTACTACTAAACCAAGCATATCATAGTATGATGTACTATTAATATTATATGAACTATAATAGATGACCAACTAATACTAAACCAAGCATATCATAGTATGATGTACTATTAATATTATATGAACTATAATAGATGGCCAACTAATACTAAACCAAGCATATCATAGTATGATGTACTATTAATATTATATGAACTATAATAGATGGCCAATTAATACTAAACCAAGCATATCATTGGTTTATAGTGGAGAATAATTAACATCAAAGTTTACTGTATTACAAGATATGATGGGAATTATTAATGTCTATAATCAGTATATTTCAAGTGAAATGAAATGAAATGGATTTTAACGTCCTACTGTTCAGCTCCGACTGGGCTAATGCAGTGTGCTATGAGATAAATTTTGTTCGGACAGAGGCTCTACGGCCTACTCTTATTTCCAATTCCAACTCTCAAGGGTTCTTTTATGTGCATGCCAATATGTACAATGGACCTCACCTTGGTGTTTCATCCCATCCAAAGGACTATACGTTGTCCTACATCACTGACAGGTTAGCAAATTAACGTCTTACTCACTGAGCCACCGTGGCTCCCATGTGGAATGAACCAGAATTGTAACAAAGGTTAACCTAAGCTATATTGTACAAGTGATGTAATTATTTATAATGGGTATAACGAACATCTATTCAAGTGAAATGAATCAACATTAAAACAACTGCTATCATTAGACGAGTAATATAGTATTTTATGACTAAACGAAGTATCATAACATATAATTGATTGATCAATAGTAGAGGTCTAATAATATTGTAATGATATCATTCAGGTATATAATACATGATATACTAATGATATTGTAATGATATCAGTCAGGTATATAATACATGATATACTAATGATATTTATTTTAGCTTGTAATATATTTATTCACAGAATATAATTATACATTATAATATTTACAGTATTTTATAATTTCCACACCTTTAATTTATTTTTTTACTTATTCCCTGTTACTATATAAAACACACACAGGCAAAGTATTCGCTGTTACTATATAAGACACACACGGGCAAAGTATTCCCTGTTACTACATGTATATATGACACACAGGCAAAGTAAAATACAATAATATACAATAATTAAAACAAATATTTTTGATTATTTATAATATGTATAGTCTAATAGTTGAGTAGATATAAAAGAGTGAACAGTAAAATTATTTATAATGTGTATAGTGTAAGAGTTGAGTATGTATAAAAGAGTAAAAAGTAAAATATGATATATATAAATAAAATCATTGCCTGTATTTTGCACACCTATAAGAGCGATACAGATTTTAAGTACATTTAGTGTCAATGAGAAAACCTGGTTTTAAATACTAATTATAAATTTCCATGTTTCAATTATTGCAATATTTGATGACTTTATAATTCAGAGGTGGCTGAGAATATCTTGTGAAAAGGTTTACAATAACCAATTTCCATGGTAATTTTTTGAGATGACTGGATGAGCACGACTAATATGATTTGTATAGTTTAGAAAGAGCTGCATAGTAGGGGCTTGTATCATTGACAAACATTGGGTGTTTATGTTAGGGGTTAAAAGAATATCTTGTGAAAAGGTTTACAATAGCCAATTTCAATGTTAATTTTTTGAGATGACTTGATGAGCAAGACTAAAATGATTTGTATAGTTTAGATAGTGCTGGATAATAGGGACTTGTATCACTGGTGTTTATGTTGGGGGTTAAAAGATGGGTCGAATGCTGGCAGACGGCAATTCGTCTGCTATTCTAGAGAGATATTTTCATAAACGATTTAAGTTGTCAATTATATCATCATTAAGGGTATTTAATTTAGTAACTTTAGATTGAGTTTGTTTATTGTGATTTCTAAGTATGACAATTATCTTTTAGGCTTATTTCAAATCTAAAGTTATTTCTTAAACAAAGTAGATTTGTTCTATATTTGATTGAAATAGATGAATGACTTCGAAGCTCTTCGAAGGGGATCACGGTGGCTAGGTGGGTAAGACGCTGGCTCGCTAGTCTGGAGGTCGGTTTTCGATCCCTGCATTGGTAGAGAAAGTTCATCCAGATTGTCCGGTGTGGTTCTCCTTTGAGAGTGATGCAGGACAGAGGGCCTGACAAGCACAGCTGTCTAGTCATTGGCATGCACGTAAAAGATCCCTTGACAGTTGGAATTCTATATGAAAAAAGACCGTAGTGCCGCTGTCTGGGCAATATTTTCCTCATATCACACTGTATGGCGCATGCCCGTCTTCATTAGTCAAGTTCGGAGCAGAACAGTAGAACCATTTCTTTTCATTTCATTTCATTTCGAAGCTCTTCGGAGAAGGTGTTAGAAGGAATATTTAGGGATGTTCTGGAATATTCGAGCATTCACAACAATAAATTTTTCAACCTTAAAGAAATCAAATACGGATGTTTGAAGCTTTTGACCTTGTTATATAATATTTAACAATATAATATTTAATTAGAAGTTCTTCGGAAGAGGTGTTCAAGAATCATTGAATAGTTATCAAAGTGAGAAAGAGAGAGAGAGAGAGAGTGAAATGGGATTTAACGTCCACTCGAAACAAACTTGGTCATTTCGGGACTAACATATGATTCAATTTTATTTCCATAATCTCCATAAAGGGGTCTTTAGCTGTGGGAGGAACGTATCTTACGATATGATAAATGAAATGGGGTTTAACGCCCTACTGCTTCGACTGAGCAAATGAAAACGGCCATACGCCATGCAGAGTGCTATGAGGGAAATGTAACCTGGACAGCAGTGCTACGGCCTATTCTAATATCGAATTCCAACTGCCAAGGGATCTTTAAAGAGCATGCCAATTTGTACATGGGACTCGTTTTTTTCGTCCCATCCGAACGACTATACGTTGATGTCCGTGATTTGTTAAGAGCTCTATCTAATATTTATCAATGGAAAGCCTCGTGTTTACCGAGAGTCTGATAAAAAAATAAGCTTCCTATGGACAAGGAACTGAATCACCATATCCATGAAGCTACCTCGTTATTCGTTACTCAACTTTATATTCGGGATCCCAATATGCAACTAGCCGTGACTAGAATGGATGGGTGCCAAGTATCCCCCAGTAGTATAAAACTGGGCCTTAGGGTTCTTCGAAGAGCGCCACCCCAGTTACTGGTCCAAGTTCTCATAAAAACGTCCAGTCGTTCGCAAATTCTTGAAATTTGGACTTGATGAAGAGTCCGTGCAAAAATTCAATCATGGCTTATGCCCGTCGCCATTAAATCGATTACTGCCGAAAAGAAGGGAGCTAACTGTTCTATTTAATTTTTGCATTTGAAGGAAAGTGAACGAACTATATCATAAATTTACCACCCATACAGGGTTCGATATCACATTTGTACCTGACAAAGGTTTACCTGTTCAATCTTTTGAGTTTCATCCGGAAATGAAATCGGGTTTAAAGAGACCATCCCGATTTTAACAAAGTCTCCGAAATAAAAGTCTGTGTTTGTATGCAATGTATGTACCGTGTCTCGCGATATTGAGTCGTTTGGACGTGAACGTCAAAACCGCTTATCCGGACGCGTCCTACTGTTCTGCTACAACTGGACTAAT